AGACATTTCTGCTCTGTGCCCTTACGTAGCCCTATTGTCCTATTTGCAAATATATACATCTAAAATCTTGAATAATCAGGACTAGCAGAAAATTTCTTTCCTATTTTTCATTTTAATTTTTACACTACATAAACGTTGGTTCTAAATATTTCTAAAATTTCAGTCACACTGGAAACCTAAAGGAATGAGTATATGAAAGAAAATAAATGACTGCTTTTTAAATAAAAGCCCTTGAATTTTATAATCACTTCATAGAACAATTGAGATATTAAGATAACAAGACTCTTCATAGACTAGTGATGGCCCCAAAAATTCTGTCTTGAATGGATACTACCACTATCATATTTTATTCTTACAAGTTTGTATAAAAAGGAAGCTGAGCTTGCTAATCCTACATTAAATGAGAAAACTGGAGCACATGGAGTATTCTGTCTTCTGAATTAGTAAGTAGATTGATAGGCCCTTGTCCCATACCTAGATAACTAACAACCTCACTGTAATTGCCCCACTGGGTTTTTCTTGTCTGCTGCCTAGAAAAACCAATACACTGAGAAAAACAGGAGTTGCAGCAGAGAAAGAGTTTAATAATCACAGGGTCAGCCAAGTGAAGAGAATAGGAGATATTTTTCAAATTCACCTGTCCAAGAATTTGGAGGCTAGGGTTTTAAAAAAATAATTTGGCAGGCAGGGGGCTAGGGAATGGAGAATGCTAATTTGTTGGGTCAGGGATAAAATCCTAGGGTGTTGAAATTGTCTTTTGGCTGAGTCAGTTCTTGGGTGGGGGTCACAAGACCAGTGTGTCAGTATCTTGGTGTTGGTTACTGATCCAAGTGGAACCAGCTAGTCTGCCAGAATGCAAAGTCTGAAAAATATCTTAAATGCCAGCCTTAGGTTTTGCAACAGTGTTGTTATCTATAGGAGCAATTGAGGTTACAAGTCTTGTGACCTCTGGCTACATGACTCATGAAACATAACTCTAAACTTTTGGCCAATGTATTAGTTTTACAAAGGCGATTTTGGTCCTCAGCAAGAAGGTGATTAGTTTGGGGAAGGGGCTGTATCTTCTCTGTTTTAAAGTTAAACTATAAATTCCTCCCATAGTTAACTTGGCCTACACCTGGGAATGAGCAAGAACAGTTAGCTTGTGATGTTACAGGCAAGATGGAGTCAGCTGTGTTAGCTCTTGCTGTCATAATTTTTACAAAGGCAATTTCATTACCCTCCAACATCAGTTTAGTCCAATGAGCTCTCCACGGTCGTCTGCTGTGGTTTTGTGCATCATGACTAATTGTGCCAGTATACATTCTCACAATTTTGTTCTCTGAAGCAGAGTTTTTACTCCAAAGCCCTAAGGAAGCATATATACCACAGCTCCAAAGCATTTCTGCAAACTGCAATTGATCAGTCACTGTAAAGTACACAGTTGCAGAGAACATATTGGGTTTACATGGAGGCACCTGGAATTTAACCATAAATGCCAGGTGTAATTTGGATACTGGAAATGATGAAGTGCGTGGTTATTCTAAGACATGATCTGACAGCTGAGCTCATGTCAACCTGTAGGATGCCTCTTAATGACTCCTAAGAGCGAACTTACATGACCTGGCAGAAGGTCAAGTAATGCACCCTTCAAGAATTTGCTCAATGAAAAGCAGTGGCTTTTGCAAGTGATTCAAACCATTGCTTCTTTTCTCATACAAATCACTTTTATCTCTGTGTGACGTAAGTAGTTCTTTTGTCCCAGACTACCAGAATCATGACTTATTACACATACTGTGTGTTAAACCTCATACAGTTGAATTAAATTAATGCTATAAAGACACTGCAAAGCTTGGTGTCTGTACTAGGTGCCTAGAACTCTCATTTTTCCTCTGAAATAAATATTTTTTGATACAGGTATTCATCCAAAACCAACATCTAACTGATTTCAGTGTGTCCATGGCTTAGGCCTGCCATCACTTCATGTTATATTATGTGCCTTTCTCAACAAAACACCTTTTCAAATATATTTCAAAAAATCTGATATATGACCCTGGCAAACCCTAGGTGTGACATGACACTCTGGGTCTGAGTAATAGGACATAATTCACAATATGCCTACGGCTCATTTTCAAGTCAGGTTTTGTTGAATGAAGGAAAATATGTAGTATATGTTTTAGGTACTATTTCTTCCCTAAAACTATCATAGAAGCTTCTCTCAGAGGAAATGATGACAAGTGTTAGTAGGGCAGCAGAGTCTACAACATGCACAAAAGAGCTGATCAACCCTAACGCTCTGCTCGGAAGATCCAACAAGCCACAAAAATATGGTTTCATTAAATATTTTGCGTCTCCCTTTTATTTCATATGGATCAAAAGCGAAATTGGTAGCCTTATTTACCACTGGAGGTTACCTTCTAGTAGAGTCATTAGAATATATGTACATGCATATCATTGCCATTGTTTCTGTTACATCATAATCTAACAGAAAAACCTAGAGAAATACAAATTACCATTGAAAGAGATTAGCATGAGAAAAACGTTTTTACTATTGTCTGCATTGATGAGATGATATGGAGTTCAAAATAAAACATATCAAATTATATTCAGCAGGGAAATTTGTTATTGATAGAAATATTTGTACATATATATATATACACACCCCCCATATATATATGTGTGCCCCATATATAGGTACCCATATATGTCATATTTTGCTACATGTGAAGATTATAGAATTATAAGGTCAGGGAGTTTGGGGTATCCATCACCTTGAGTATTTATCGTTTCTATTCATTGGGATTATTTCAAGTTCTCTTCTAGATATTTTGAAATATACAATACATTGCAGTTAACTGTAGTCACTTTAACATTGGAACTTGCTCTTTCTAAAAATCAACATTGTGAAAATGGCCATATGCAAAATTAATTTATCAATTCAAAGCTATTCCTATTAAACTACCATTGACATTCTTGACATTCTTTACAGAATTAGAAAAAAAAAATTTTAAATTCATATGGAACGAAAAAAGAGCACAAATAGCCAAGGCAATTTTAAGCAAAAAGAACAAAGCTGGAGGCGTCACACTATCAGACTTCAAACAAGGCTACAGTAACCAAAACAGCATGGTACTGGAACAAAAACAGACACATAGACGAATGGAACAGAATAGAGAACTCAGAAATAAGACTGCACACCTACAGCCATCTGATCTTCAACAAACCTAACAAAAACAAGCAATGGGAAAAGAATTCCCTGTTTAACGTTTAGTAAGTGGTGCTGGGAGAACTGACTAGCCATATGCAAAAAATTGAAACTGGACCTCTTCCTTACACCATATTCAAAAATCAACTCAAGATGGATTAAAGACTTACATGTAAAATGCAAAAATGTAAAAACCCTAGAAGAAAATCTAGGTAATACCATTCAAGACAGAGGCACAGGCAAAGATTTCATAACGAAAACACCAAAAACAATTGCAACAGAAGCAAAAATTGACAAATGAGATCTAATTAAACTAATGAGCTTCTGCACAGCAAAAGAAACTGTCATCAGAGTGAACAGACAACCTATAGAATAGAAGGAAACTTTTGCAATCTATCCACCTGACAAAGGTCGAATATCAAGAGTCTACAAAGAACTTAAATTTACAAGAAAAAATAAACCACCCCTTTAAAAAGTGGGCAAAGGATATGAGCAGGCACTTCTTAAAAGAACATACATGAGGCCAACATATTATAATAAACAAGCTCAACATCATTTATCATTATAGAAATGCAAACCAAAACTACAATGACACTCCATCTCATACCAGTCAGAATCGTGATTCTTAAAAAACAACAGATGCTGGTGCAGTGGTGGAATTCCTAAAAAAGGAATGCTTTTACGCCTTTAGTGGGAATGTAAATTAGTTCAACCACTGTGGAAGACAGTCTGGTGACTCCTCAAAGACCTAGAGGCAGAAATACCATTTGACCCAGCAATCCCATTACTGAGTATATACCCAAAGGAATATAAATTATTATCTTATAAAGATACTTGGCTATATATATTCATTACAGTACTAGTCACAACAACTGAGACATGGAATCAACCTAAATGCCCACCAATGATAAATTGGATAAAGAAAATGTGGTACATATACACCATGGAATACTATGCAGCCATAAAAAGGAATGAGATTATGTCCTTTGCAGGAACATGGATGGAATTGGAAGGGATTATCCTCAGCAAACTAATGCAGGAACAGAAAACCAAACACCACGTGTTCTCACTTGGAAGTCGGAGCTGAATGATGAGAACACATGGACACATGAAGGAGAACAACACACACTGGGGCCTGTTGGAGGGTAGATTCAGGGGAGGGAGAGCATCAATCAGAATAGCTAATGGATGCTGGGCTTAATGTCTAGGTGATGGGATAATCTGTGCAGCAAACTACCATGGCACACATTTACCTATATAACAAACCTGCACATCCTGCACACATACCCCCAAACTTAAAAGTCAAAGAAAAATAAAAACTTGTTTCTTCTATCGCACTGTATTTTATACTTCCTTAAACTAACCTCTGTCTCTCCCCAACCTACACATTCTTCCCAGCTTCTGATATCTACAATTCTATTCTCTACCTTTGTGAGATCAACTTTTCTAGCTCACACTTATGGGTAAGAACATATATTTGTCTTTCTGTGCCAGCCTTATTTTACTTAACATAATTACCTCCAGTTCTATTCATCTTACTGCAAATGATATTTCATTCTTTTTATGGCCAAATAGTAATCTACTCTGTGTGTGTGTGTGTGTGTATGTATCACATTTACTCTGTCCATTCCTCTGCTGATAGACATTTAAGTTGAATCTATATCTTTGATATTGTGAATAGTGCCACAATAAACATGGAAATACAGGTGAGCCTTTGGTATGCTGATTCCTTTTCTTTTCAATAAATAGCTAGTAATGGGATTTCTTGATCATATAGTAGTTCTATTTTTAGTTTATTTTCTTCACACTATTTTTCATGACTGTGATCATTTATCACAGGAAAGGGAAGGAGCCGGAGCGCGAGAAGCTGCCGCCCATCGTATCGGCTGGCGCCGGCGCGACCGCGGGTTTGGACAGAGGAGCCAAAGGCCAAATTTCCACTTTCAGCAGTTTTATTTCAGCTGTTAGCCCGAAGAAAGAAGCCGCTGAAAACAGAAGTTCACCTGCACATCTTGTTTTCCCTAACATCAAGAATGTGAGAGACCAACCACCAATTTGCCTTGATGTTAGACAGAAACAGCGTGTATCTATGGATGCATCATCATCCGAAATGAAGGCCCCAGTCCTTCCAGAACCCATTCTTCCTATCCAGCCCAAAACTATGAAAGACTTCCAGGAAGATGTAGAAAAAGTTAAGTCATCAGGAGATTGGAAAGCAGTACATGATTTTTATCTAACAACATTTGATTCTTTCCCAGAATTAAATGCTGCATTTAAGAAAGATGCCACTGCCTCATTTAACACCATTGAAGACTCTGGGATTAATGCTAAATTTGTGAATGCTGTGTATGATACCTTACTTAATACTCCTCAAGACATTCAGAAGACAGTACTTAAGGGAATCATTAACAGCCTGTTACGAGAATGGAAAGGTCCACGAACAAAAGATGATCTTAGAGCATATTTTATACTTTTACAGAATCCTCAGTTTAATAATACATCTACTTATGTCATCTATGCTCACTTGCTACGACAGATAGCTACCTTAGTGGAAGCTGACCAGCATTTCCTAGTTCACTGGTTTAAAAAGTAAATCATTCTATGATATTAAGAACTTTTATAGTCTCACAGTTTTAAGTTTGGTATTAGTAATTTTACAATAAAATATATTTAAATATTAAAAAAAAAATAGGGCTGGGGGGGGGATTTATCACAGATTTATCCCTAATCCTGTGTTATTATCATTTTCATGTGAATCCAGATTGAAAATTAGGGTTTTATCTTTGACCCCATCTGTCATAGCCAGCTCTGCTTGCCATAACAAAATACCATAGACTGTGTGGCTTGAACAACAGAAATGTATTTTTCAGAGTTATGCAGGCTGGGAAGTCTAAGATCAAGATTCTGGCAATGTAGGTTTCATTCTGAGGCCTCTTTTCTTAGCTGGTAGGTAGCTGCTACTTCACTGTGTATTCACGCGACCTTTTCTTTATGGCTGCTGGGGGCGGTGTGGAGAGAGTTCTCTGGTGACTCCTTATAAGGGCACTAAATCCCATTATGCCCCTCGTGATCTTATCTAACCCTAATTATCTTCCAAATGTCCCATCTCCAAATGCCATTTTAAATGACAAGCTAGTGCAGCAGCCCAGATACAAAGTAATAAGGGTTCTGAATTCAAATGTTTATAATCAGAATGGAAAGGAACAGATGAATGCATTATCATAAAGACTGATAAAACTTGGTAACTGAGAAGAAAAGGGTGTTGCTATAGACTGAATGTTTATGTCCCGCTCTACCACTAAATTCATACGTTGAAGATCTTACCCCAATGTGATGGCATTTGGAGATGGGACATTTGGAAGATAATTAGGGTCAAAGATAAAACCCTAATTTTCAATCTGGATTCACATGAAAATGATAATAACACTTATATATAGGAAGATAAGGAGGGAATGTAGTTTGGGGAGAGACCAACCTAAATTCACATAATTTAGGTCAACTAACTGTTCCTATGATATGCAAATTAAATTGGTCTACATGTCTTGTGTATAATAAAAATTATTGAGTATAAAATGAGAAATGGATGAGTATATCTCCATAGGATGATCACACCATGATTTCGCACTTCAGAAAATATGATTAGCAAAACTGTTAGAATATAAGAAATCATTAAGAACTCTGCTAGTAGTTTATGTTTGAGTATGTGTTTCTATTTATTCTTTAATGATGTTGGTAATGAGATTGTCAAACACTTTTACTGCCAGGATTTACAGTATTATGTATGAATTGCTGAGAATTTTTTATTATGACATGCCAGCCTCATATAATAAAGAGGAAACTACTTAATGACCAGTCAAACCAAGGAGGTTTTCACTGTAAACTTAAAATGATAAAACGATCATAAGTGGTTTTCCTTAAGTAATCATCCAAGTGTTGTTCTGATGCCACACCAAATCTTCAAGATTATCTTTTTTTCTCCAACTAAGTTCATGTTGTGTGGGGGTGGGTCTTGATTAGTAGAAGGCTACACGATAGCAGTCCATGTAAAAATTTGTCTTCTAGTAACAACATGACCAAACCTGTACATGAGCTTCAGTAATTTCCATTTAGAATTAAGTATTTGGAATAAATAACTTTCTCCTAATGGCTTTCACAGGTGTTTTATCAAAACCAACACCATTTTCTTTATTCAGTCTGATGAGGATATTTGTAGTGATAAGTTGAAACAAACAGGTAGAATCTTTTGTTATGCAAAAAAGGTAAGAAACAACAAAAACTAGTGTTAACGCAATCAACAGTAGCCTGAAATTGTTTTTTTAGAAGTTAAAAAGGAAAGGATAAAAAAAAAAAAAAAAAAAAAAAAGCCAAACCAGAGATTTCATGCTACATTCAGTGGAATATAATTCAACATAATTCAATGGAAAACCTGCTATGTAACTAGAGTGCAATAATCCAAAACAGCCCCAGGTAATTAAAACTTTCAGTAGTTCAAGAGCACTATTTTAATTTAGGTATCTCCAGAAGCTGACTGAGACTATGCAAATGTTTATTTGGAAGGTGATTCCAAAAGCCACCAGTGAAGTGAAATAAATGCATCAGAATGGTGGGAGAGCTTGTTGCAAAACGGATTGCTATGTCCCACCCTCAGAGTTTCTGAGTCAGTAGATCTGAGTTAGCTCTGAAAATATGCATTCCTAGGAAGTTCCCAGGTGATGGTGATGCTGATGCTGGATTTGAGGGACCAAGATTTGAGAATAACTACTTTAAAACAATCTGGGCATCAATTCTTTTTCCTGATGCCCTGTATTTCTCTCAGTATTTCATTCTGGTAACACCTTTTATTTCTCTCTATCTTAGCATACTTACCACTCTGCATTGCAATGTTCTCTTTAGTGCTGTCTCTCTGAATAGATTCTGAGATTTTGAGGACAAGGAAACTGCCATTCATGTCTATTATTCAGTGACTGGCATAAATTATATACTATATAAATATTGGACAAGGAAAGGAAAAGAAAGTCACAGGAAAAAGAGAAGGAAGCAGAAAAAAGTGGGGAAGGAGAGGGAAAGAGAGGTAGCGAGAATAGAAACCGTGCTAATGACTTTAAATCCTTGATAGCTCAGTGTCTTATTTGAGTTCTCCAGGAAGTGGAGGTTGGGTCAGAGACTGAATGCATCTAGATTTGAGAAGGGCAGGGATGCCCACATTGGACAGAGCAGGTGACACAGGGAAGGCAAACAATAAAGGATGCATTATTAAGGCAGCAAGCATAGTACATGACTGAAATGAGTGATGGGGGAAGTTCTAGAAGACAGTGTACAAACTCAGGCCTCCCAGCAAAGGGTTGAGGAAGCTGGAGTACAGTTGTCCCCACATCTATCAGTCATTGGTTAGGGACTGCCCTCTGGAGTACTTTAATTTTTAGGTACTTCCACCCTGCTGTGCAAAGGTCCTAGATGTTGAAAGTAGGCTGGCATGGGTGAAAATGGTAAGGGGATCCCAAGAGAGATGGATGAAGGACTGATGGTATCTGCTATACTCAGTGACCAAAGAGAAATTTTCTTTAAGTTATGTCCAAGAAAGAAGATGGGTTACAGTATGAAAACTTGGTACATGAATTAACATATTTTTAAGCTTTTCTGTTAGAAAAATTTATTTTATAAGAATAAGTCCAAAGAAATTTTAAGAAGAGACACTATCATGAAAGAATTACCAATATCAAGCTTCCTTAGATGCAGTCAATTGCTGGATTCAATCACCTTGAAGGAAATAATAATGTAAAACAAACAAAAGAGAAAGCATAGTTTTATAGCCCATGGAGGGGTCTGGAGAGGCAGGGAGGTTCTTCCTGATTCTCTGTGGTCCTTAGCAAGGAACTATTAAGTAAAATAAAAGTAACATCCTGCAGCGTCCGCTTTCAAAGAATAGCTAATCAAGGTGATTGTAAAGTAATCTATGAAAGTATTCTCCTGGTACTTATTAAGTCCTTATAAATTCTTTACCGTAAGCCATGAGTATGTTGCATTTGGTGAAGCAATATTTTTTGCTAACTTAAAAGCACTGTTTTTGATGTTACATAAATTCAGAAATAATACACAAACAGTTGCACTTTTTTCATTTTTAACTATTTGCAATCATTTCTGAGCTCAGTTAATATAATCACCTTCACGTAGTATTTAACATGTCATTCACTAAGCATTCTGTAAACCCTTTTATGAGCAAGGTATAGGGTTAAGAATTAGGTGTGGTACAATGAAGAAAATACAGTGCCTGCTTTCAAGAATTTACAACCTAATAAAAAAGATATGATGGATGTGTACAAAAATTAAGATTGCTAGGTGACATCACAGGAAACAGTCTATGGAAAGTCAGAGAGGGGAAAGTTTACTTCATGTTATGGAAGATAAGATCTCGTGGGTCAGATGGCATTTGAAAAAAGCCGAAAAGCACTTGCAGAATTTGGAAATGTAAAGGAGAGAATAGCATTCCGTGAATATAAGACAGGAGAAAGAGAAGGTAGCAAAATAACTTGGATGATTCACAAATATGAAAATAGAGTTCAATTTGACTGCTGCATGGAGCATATACACAGGAAGGAAAATCAGAGTCAGACGCACATTTGTAAAAGACAATAAAAGCTCTAGATCTGTCTTGTCTATAACAGTAGCCATTAGCCGCACATGACCGTTGAGCACTTGCAGATAAAAATGTGTTTCATGGTTATATACCCAAATGAATAGAAATCATTCTACCACAAAGATACATGCACGTGTATGTTCATCACAGCACTATTTACAATATCAAAGACATGGAGTTAACCGACGAGCTCATCAACAGTAGATAGGATAAAGAAATGTACATATACACCATGGAATACTATGCAGCCATAAAGAAGAATGAAATCATATCTTTTGAAGAAACATGAATGGAGCTGGAGTCATTATCCTAAGAAACTTAACACAGGAACAAAACTAAATACCACATGTTCTCACCTATAAATGGGAACTAAACATTGAGTTACACATGGACACAAAGAAGGGAATAATAAACCCTGGAGCCTACTTGAGTGTGGAGAGAGAGGGGAAGGTGAGGACTGAAAAACTCTATTGGATATTAGGCTGATTCCATGGGTGACAAATTTTTTTGTATACTAAACCCCCACACAATCTACCCATGTAACAAACCTGCACATGTACCCCTTGAACCTAAAAGCTGGAAAGAAAAAAAAGTGAAAGAATCACTATGAAATAATACATTATTTTAAGATGATAAATTTTACAACTTAGATAAGATACACAAATGCCCTGAAAAATATAATTTACCAAAACTATCTAAAGATGAAATGGAAAAATCTGAATACCCTATATCTATTTTTAAAAGTTAGGTCAGCCAGAGAGAAAGGGTGGGTTACTCACAAAAGGAAGCCCATCAGACTAACAGTGGATCACTCTGAAGAAATTCTACAAGCCAGAAGAGAATGGGGGCCAATATTCAACATTCTTAAAGATAAGAATTTTCAACCCAGAATTTCATATCCAGCCAAACTAAGCTTCATAAGTGAAGGAGAAATAAAATCCTTTATAGACAAGCAAATGCTGAGAGATTTTGTCACCACCAGGCCTGCCTTACAAGAGCTCCTGAAGGAAGCACTAAACATGGAAAGGAATAAGCAGT